CATAGAACAAAGTAGAGGCAAATACACACAAAAGAAAAGGAAAAGAAAGTCAGAGAAACACTTAAGCATTTTCAGAAAACCCTAGATCGGAAACGAAGCGGTTTTGAAAGTAATTTTTGAAAGAAAAATTAGGGAAATCATTGGAAAACTCAATGAGATCACAAATACACAACGGATCTAAGGAAATCGGAGAAAACCTCGAAGGGTTATGGTTTCTAAAGAACCCTAGAAGTGAGATAGGCTTTGAAAGGTCACCGATCTGAGTCGGAGAGGTCGGAATTAGGCTCAAACCACCATGGTACGCCGTAGTAAAGCCGGAGATGGCCGTGGAACCTTGAATCGACATAGGTCTGGGTGCAAACCTTCGAGCCCAGGCCTTGAATCTTCAGAGATCAGGCGCGTGGGAGCAAGAGAAGGTGAGTATAAGACTCTCATAGCCTGAGAAGTCATGGATTCCGGTGGGTTTCAAGGTGGAGGTGGTGGTAAGAGGCGGTTAGGGTTTGGGAATGTTCGAGAGAGTTTGAGAGTTTAGAGGTGGCTGGTTAGGTGAACTGATTTAGGGTTAAGGGGTGTTGATAGATTAAAAAAGGAAAGGAGGGTTTGTGGTCGTTGATCAAAATATCAACGCCCTGGATCAAAAGGGGAGCTGGGCGGGTTGAATTAAACGGGTCAGGGGTCGGGTAATTTATAAAAAGGTCCGAGTAATTTGAAATTGCAATTGGGTTCAATTGGGGGTTGATTTGGGCTACAATTGAAATGAAATAGGGCTAGTATTTAAATAGCCACTTTTCCCTTATTTGTTTTATAAAAAATAGTAAAATAATTTCTGAAAATAAATTAAAGGTACTAAAATGATTAATAATACATAATTATCAAATTAAAAAATACTTGAGTCAATTTAATAATTATGAAAACAACTAAATCTTAAAATAGGCTAAAATTGCAATTATATGCAATTTAACTTTAAAATTACTAAACAAATTTGTAAAAATATGTAAAAATTATGCCAGATATATTTTAATATAAATATGAGAATACAATAAGTGAATCACCCAAAATGATAATTTTGGGGATAATTATTGGGTTTTTCTTGATAAATTAGGGCAATAAATAGATTTAAAAATCTATAAAAATTAAGAGAAAAAATAGTAAAATCTTGGGACATACTTATATATGCATATACCTGCTATTTTGAAAGTATTTTGCATATAAAAATATATAGGGAAAAATTGGGTATCAACACATGTTTTCTGATGAATAATTCCCTTGGAGTGAAAGAAATGAGTGGACTCGGTGCTAGTAAACTCTAGGCCATTGTGTGACCTAATACACTTGATTTTAGTTTGAAATTGGGTACTAACCATAGACACAAAAGCTTTAATGATCTATAAAGCATTGCTTTTTGAGCTCAAGAGGTATGTCCAGGTGTACCTACTATAGTCATCCACTAAGGTAATGAAGTATTTAAAGTTGTCATAGGTAGGTTCATGATAAGGTCCTCACAGGTTAACATGTAGGAGATCAAAGATGTTACTAGTGGAGCTAGTTTTCTGAGGAAATGGTAGCCTAGATTGTTTGGCCATGGGGCAAATTGAACAAAGAAAAGGCTGTTTTGATATACCCCTCATCTTCACAAAAGTTACATGTCCCAACCTATTGTGCCATATAAGGTCCACATTGTTTGTATTAAGCAAAACATAATATGAAGTAGAGCACTGAGTTTTATTACAATTGGGAGTATTTACAAGTGAACATGAATGAGTGTGAGTGTGTGAATCATTTACAGGTGAGTGAATATGAGAACGTAAACTATTTACATCACATGAAGTAGGTAAAATAGTGCAACAATTCAAAGGAGAAGAATTTGAAAGAGAAACTGAGTTCTTTAGACAGCTGGAGCAGAGGAGATATAATCCATCTTTGATCTCACTAATCTCTAGAGGCCTCTTCATTGAAAGGGCCTGCAGAAGACATGAAGAGTCAGTGAAGGCAACTAAGCTTTTAAGCTGTGAAGCAAGGCAATGAATAGATATGAGATTATACTTAAAGGAAGGCACATAAAGGACTCTATGCAATACTATCTGAGATGCAAGTGTTACGGTTTCAATTTCTATCACTTTCACTCAATAGCCATTTGTTAGGGTGATTAGCAAAGGATATGAAAGAGTTTTAGTGTGAGATAGTAGGGATTTGTTAAAGGTCATGTGGTTGGATGCTCCGAAATCTAAAATCCAGAGGTTAACACTTGGTGTAAAACATCTACATGATAGCAAACCAAAATCAATAGACAAGACAGAGGCAGAACAAGCAAATATACCTACAAAATTGGCATTTCCATTGGTTACAGTCAGACTGGTGGTGTTCTCTCCTCCCCCTCTAATGTGAAATTCTTGTAGTAGATTGAATAGTTGCCTATATTGTTCCTTAGTCAAATTGAGAGGGGAACTCATGTTGTTTTTGTCACTGCACCTTTGAGAGCTCATCCCATCATCCTTAACTGACATGGATTCAACTGGTGCACCATGCACATTGGTAGAAATCCTCTTACCCTTATTGAACGTAGGATTAAAGTTGTTGTTTTGAGGATAACCATGCAACTTAAAGCGCTTATTTGGTATGTCCTAGATGCTTACAGTAATCGCAGAATGGACGAGGCTTGCTATTTGGGTGATTCCCAGTTGAATAATTGGTTTTGAAGTTCTCATTTCTAGATGTATTGACATTCAAAGAAGTAGATTCAATTGTAGGCAAGCTGATATTCCTAGAAGTATTGACATTCATAGATGCAGATTCCATCATAAACGAGTCATTTGGTCTGACTTCCCTTTGTTTTTCCTCTTGGATCAGCAAAGAAAATGCTTGAGCCACTAATGGTAATGGATTCATCATCAGAATACTACCTCGCACAACTGTATATACCTCATTAAGTCCCATCAAAAATTGAATCAGACGCCTGTCTTGTTCGGCATTATGCATGGACTCTTTGGCTCCACAGGTGTAGTGGAAGCTACATTGAGATTTGGCACTCAAATTATTCAATTCTTCCCATAGCCTTTTTATTTTTGTGTAATAACGTGTAACGTCGAGAACTCCTTGATACAAATCATTAATTTCTTTCTGAATTTGGTATAGCTTGGTTCCATTAGTTTGGTCATAACGATCCTCTAATTCTCTCCATAATTTTGCAGCATCATTTGCATATTCTATGCTATTTACGATATCTTTAGCAAAAGAATTTAAGATCGACAAAGTAACCATGTCGTCACAACGCATCCACTGACGAAGAGATGTAGAACACTTCTCCTCCAAGATCGATAACCAATACCGTTGAAAGGAGTCGTCACCAATATTGCACCAGGGTTGTCAGAAGGTGCATGTAAAAGGAACAATTTAGATCTATGTTGGGCTCATAAATAAGGGTAGAAATAGGACTACCTGAGGCGATGCCGGAATCGTCAATTTGATCGAGAATAGCCATGTGAGAGTTAATCTGGGAGAAGAGAAAGAGTCAAAATTGAAAAATTAGTGCAAAATTGAAATTCCTGATTTTGTGATGAAAATCACGATTCAACAAGAATCGAGAAGTAGGATCTCATAAAGCAATGCTCTGATACCATGTCAAGAGGAAGAAGGCACAGAGAACCTCGAGCTCAAGCTTGAGCTCCCGTGGTGAAACTTCATAAGCTTCGAGAGAAAGAGAGAAGTCTGAGAGAAAACAATTTTAGAAATGAACTGTGCAATCTCACTAGTTCAGTAAATGAGTACATATATACACATATGGAGTCCTCCACTTATAACATGTGACAAACTAACTAATTGACAGCTAAGCTAAGGTAACACTAAGGTAAAATACATAACTAAATAAGGTTGGCGCTTCCCCGACCCATGCATAAAGGATTTGTGCACCAGGCTGACCATAGATTAATGGCAAAATACCTTAAACCACCCCTAAACTTGGCTCAGATTATTAGTATCCTCCCGAACTATGTCCGGTCTTAATTACCCCCCTCAACTTGGCATTTTGAGAGACATTACCCCCTAGACACTGAAGTGGCAAAAAGTGTGGGTGCACTCGTCTGCTACGTGGATTTTTCTGTATATGTGGCATTTTTTTGAAAAATAAAATATATTTTTACAGTTTTAAGAATATTACTTTTTTAGATAATTTTTTCGAATACAATTTATAATAAAATTTGGATAGAACCACATTATTTAGGCTAAATATTTTTATTTGGCAAAAAACAATAAAGTTTTAGTTAATCTTTTTTTGAATTTGACCTGAAAATAAAGATTTATACAATTGAAATAAATAGTCAATGCATCTAAAAAGTTATAAAAAAAATACATAGACATTGCATCAATACATTCTTTTTATTTTTTCTTTTGATGCAATGAATATTTATTTCAACTGTGTATTTTTACTTTTTTAGGTAAAATCTGTAAAAAAAATATATATATATTTTTAGAGCACCGTAATTTAGAGCTATATAAAAAATTATAGCCAAAATAATTAATTTCAAACTATATATTTTGTATAACTTTTTAGATGCCTTGACTATTTATTTCAATTGTATAAATCTTTATTTTCAGGTCAAATTCAAAAAAAGATTAACTAAAACTTTATTATTTTTGGCCAAATAAAAATATTTAGCCTAGATAATGTAGTTCTATCCAAGTTTTATTATAAATTATATTCGAAAAACAATTATCTAAAAAAGTAATATTCTTAAAACGATAAAAATATATTTTATTTTTCAAAAAAATGTCACATATATAAAAAAATTCACGTGGCAGTCGAGTACACCCACACTTTTTGCCACATCAGCGTCTAGGGGGTAATGTCTCTCAAAATGCCAAGGTGAGGGGGATAATTAAGACCGGGCATTGTTTGGGGAGGATACTAATAATCTGAGGTAAGTTTAGGGGTGATTTAAGGTATTTTGGCTAGATTAATTTACGGTTTATCTAGTTTTATTAGATTTACTTGAACGACCCTGTCCATAAACGAGATAACTATTTTCTCACTTTCCCCTCCTTTGAGCCTTTTGCTGTCAGCATACCAAAGCGATTTTACCAAATAAATGTCTACTGCAGAAGTCACTAACTCATCAGATCTCATTGATTTTCTAGTAAACAAAGGCAATGGAGTAAAGGGTCTTTCCCAAATTGGTCTCAAGAACGTACCTGAAAAATTCATTCAACCTCAAATAGAAAGACTAAATTTTACCCAAATAGTGTCCTCAGAATCCATACCCATCATTGATTTCTCAAATTGTGATGATCCAAAAGTTGCAGAGTCAATATGTGATGCAGCAGAGAAATGGGGTTTCTTTCAGATCATTAATCATGGAATCCCAGTTGAAGTTCTTGAGAATGTATTAGAAGCTGGGCACAAGTTCTTTGAGTTGCCCGTTGAGGAAAGGAGGAAGTATTTGAAAGAGAATTCACCTACTCATACTGTGCAGTTGAAGACCAGCTTTAGTCCTCTGGCTGAGAAGGTTTTGGAGTGGAAAGATTACCTTTTTCATATCTATGATTCTGAGGATGAGAGCAGCACTATGTTGTGGCCTGCTGTTTCCAAGTAAGAGAGAAACATTAACAATTCCTGTTTAAAGTTTCAATCTATCAAGCTCTTTTATTTCTGAATTCTCTGTTTGGTCTAAACTTGGTTAACTGCTAAAAACTTATCCTATTAGACTAAATTCTTGAGTCAGTTTGCACGGATCTCCACCATCCCACGTGGTCTGCTATCTCAATTTACGTGTGTTGGCATATGAGAAGAAATCACCCAGTATTTTTTATCTCCAATTTTACACCTAGTTTATTGACCACTAGCGACACCTTGAATGCAAACTTAATTGGAATGCTCTTTCTTGTATGCAAAGAGTAAATTTAGCATGATATACGGAATTTTGCATCTTGCAATATTATAAACAACTACTGTAATGATAAAAAGAATACGTAGTAAGGAAATGCTAGTACTTATATACTTTTTCTTCATTTGGCATCAATGGCGAAATATTTAAACATTTTTTTAATATTATCTACAGATCTTACTCTATATTATGAGAGTTATGAATTAATGATGTATGACAAACTACAGTGTCTAGACTATAATTTGAAGAATATATTCAAATTTGTGCAAATCATTTGTCAATCCTGTCACCTTTAACATTTGCAGACTTGCTAGCTTTTCAACTTGGTGAATGCCAAGTTTCCAAGTGATAGTGTTTGAGAACTTCTACTAATGCTAGTTAAGATTAAAATAAAACAAAATAAATAGCTCTTTGAAGGCAGAAGAATTCTAACAAAATGCACTTATATCATTGCTAGATAACTTATCCGTATATAATTGATACTAAGTTATTAGATCCCAGCAAAGCTCTCTGGAAATTAGCAAAAGCTGCAAGTTCTATTGTGGCTTAGCCTTCGGAAATACTTATCCGATATCTAAGTAGTGTTGTCTGTTTAAAATGTTGAGAGAACTATTACCACATAGCGAGAGAATTATCAAGTTGCATTTGCTGATCTAGTACCAAGCATAAACAAAATATGCATTTAATTTGCTCTTGCAGATTCTAGTCCGTATAGTGGTTGTATCTAGTCCTTACAAGAAGCCCCTAGACTAGGAAGATCAAACATCTCCTCGGGAATAAGACGTAACTCCTGGTGTTTCTTTTATAATAAAATAAACCATTTCCAATAGGGGCCTAAAGGCCGGAGCCAAAGAGCAAGTGAGGTCTACTCCACACAGCCAGGACTGATGAAAGGCAATGTTGAAGCAGCTCTAGGCATTTCCCTTTCGATGACTAATATGACCACTAGCCTTCCAAACCATTCCCTCAAATAGGACTGCGACCGCCAGTGGCGAAGCCCGGAATTTTTCTTAGGGTGTTCAAACTTGAAAGAAGTAAAAAAAATCTCTGACAAAGGGTGTTCAATATATGTTAAATACCTCTAAAACCTAATATTTTACCTATATACGTAGTGTAATTTTCCAACGAAGGATGGTCAATTGACCACCCTTACCATAGCGTAGCTTCGCCCACGGCGACCGCTCTTAGTTGTTGAGCTCCTTTGCTATTCAATATCACTATCCGTTTAGACCATTTTTGGGGCTAACATCATTTTACTTCTACAGAGACCAGGTTCTGGAGTACATGAAGTGGGCTAAACCTGTTATAGTAAAGCTTCTAGAGGTGCTGCTCAAGGGACTAAATGTGAAGCAGATTGATGAAGCAATGAAGTCTGTTGTAATGGGTACGCTGATTGTTAACCTCATTCACTACCCTACGTGCCCGAACCCTGAGCTCACTGCTGGTGCTGGCCGTCATGCTGATGTCTCTTCAATCACTATGCTCCTACAAGATGATGTTGGTGGCCTTTATGTCCGAGAACCCAAAGGCGATGGCTGGATTCATGTGCCCCCAGTCAAAGGAGCGCTCGTAATCAATATAGGGGATGTCCTTCAGATCATGAGCAACGATAGGTACAAGAGCGTTGAGCATCGCGTGATTGTAAATGCCAATAGGAACAGAGTATCAGTGCCAATATTTGTGAATCCAGCGCCCGATGCAGTTTTTGGTCCTTTGCCACAAGTGCTAGAAAATGGAGAGAAACCGTTGTATAAGCAGGTGATTTATTCAGATTATTTCAATTATTTCTTCAGTAAAGGTCATGAGGGAAAGCAGGCAATTGAATTTGCAAAGCTATGACAATTTGCTGATTCTACCCTCATTGCATCTATGCTTGGACAGTGGAGAATCGATCTAAATAATCTTAAAAGGTGTACTCCCTAAAATTACATCATATAGAAAACCATGCTACCGGCTTAGTTAACTTTGTTTCCCTGGTTGTACACTATTCAAACTATTGTGATAGAACATATGATGGATAGACTCTTTTAGAATGGATTTAAGTTATATATACTAGCATTGTAAAGATTATTTTACACTATCAGTGTACTTTAACATGTTGTAGTATGTTAGTTATCCTTTTTATCAGGTTACCAATTATTATAATCATAGAGATCTACATGTAGAAGAGGAGGAGCCTTGGAGCAACGGTAAAGTTGTCTATATGTCACGGGTTCGAGCAGGAGTGGCAAAATAGTTAAAAGAAAATAGTTAACCACTCATATTATCCATTAAAAATGGGTTGGATAATGAACTCTTTAAAAATAGGTCAAATATGGATAAAAAAAACATATTATCCATTTAGAAAAGAATTAACATCCTAATACCCCCTTAAACTATCACGGTTTTGTCAGTTTCCTACTTAAACTATTCGGTGTCCCCAAAATCCCCTTGAACTATATTGTTCTTCATATCTAAACTCCTTCATTGCTCATCTGGCATAATATGTGTACACACTCGCTTGGGAGCGGTTGGCGGCTGAAAAAAGCCATCAAAATTGCCCACCTGACGGGATATAATGGCTAATTAGCCTAACCATCTTTCAACTTTGTTTTTGTTTTAAATATTCTCCTTATTTCCTTCATATCCACCATTATTCCTTATTTTTTCGCCTTCCTTTATTATTTTTTCACCCTCTTCATTTTTTCACCGTTTTTCTTCAGTTCTAAATATGGGATCCCTCTGGAAAAATTTCTCCCTCTCTTGTTTCCTTCGAAATAATTTATTTTCTTTCTTTTTTAGTCTTCTTGCATATCTTTGACACATACCGTTGAAAGAACATCCATTTAAACCTTCTTATTAAACCTACACCTTGTTGTAGAGAATAAAGTTGAATTTCTTAAACCTTATTTGTGTAATTTAGAATTATAGAATGTAATTGTTGACCGATTAGTTTCTTATTTGCAAAATTTTTATTTTGTATAATCTTGTTTATGTAATATAAGATGATTTATCATAAATGCTATACCATATGCCTTTATTTTTTTTATTGTGCTGGAAAGTGAATGTAAATAAGGAATTAGTCAATTAGAGTCTAGTATAAAGTACAACCACAATTAAATCTAAAGTTAACCCATTATATTAGATGCTATTTTGGCAAAATTAAACTCCTAGAATTAATCAGTCATCCGAGAGTAAAATATCATGAGCAAACTACATAAAAAATTTACTACAAATTATAAGTTAATATAGTTAGAGAGACGCACATCTAAAAATTCGACATATGGTTTTAATATATAGGAAACATAGTTCAAGGGGGTTTTGGGGGCACTAGATAGTTTAAGTAGGTAACTGGCAAAAAAGTTATAGTTTATGGGGGTTTTAGGCTAGGCTAAACAGCCACATATAGTGCCACATGGCAAGTTTTTTGGATAATTTAGAGCGTGTACTAGACGCACCTCTAAGAATGCAAAATGGAGGTTTTAGTATGAAGGGCAATATAGTTTCAGAGGGGTTTTGGAGACACTGAATAGTTTAAATAGGAAACTGATAAAAATATGATATTTAGGGGGATTTTAGGGTATTAACTCTTTAGAAAATGAATAACTAATGGATTTAACTTTTACATTTCTAGGACCTCAAATTAGGGGTTCCTCAAGTTTGGGAGACTAGGAATTCTCCCAAAATGATCATATTCATGAAGCCATGGATATTATAGTTACACATATTATTCGCTGGTTAACCTATTTTTTATCTGTATTAAATATGGGCCGGGTCGGATAATTTATCTATTTTTTCATTACTCGTTTTCAACCCATCCCATCCGACCCGACCCGACCCACCCGTTTGCCACCCCTAGGTTCGAGTCATGGAAGCATCTACTTGTGCTTGCATTAAGGTAGGTTGTCTATGTCAATACCCCTTGGGAATACGGCCCTTTCTCGGCCATGCATGAATGTGGATGCTTTGTGCACTATGCTACTTTTTGTTTTTGAGAGATATACATGTAATTATTTTATGAGTGTTAGTGTATAGAACTTATACTCTTTTAAAATATCCATGCTATTATTGATGCGCGCGGTGTGAAAACGTAGACGCTAATTATATGACAGTAGTTTTTTTTGCGTTTTTTTTTTGTGATTTATCTATAGACGAACATTGTTTATTTTTAAGTTGATTTATCTTTAAAAAGAAAATAAAATCCACTAGGTCGANCCACTTGATTTGCTCCATTCTTGAAGTGAATGTGATAACAGTGCATAATAAGTTTCAATGAAGAAGTAGTTGAACAATGAACGTGGGCGTTCCAAATATCAAAATAACAATAATCATCACTATGATTATAAAAGGAGAACAATAAGGGTTCTCAAAATAGTCCTTCAAAATGTGAAGGCAATGCTTACCATCAAATTGGTATGAAAATAATAAAGCGCGTCGCTGATTATGATCCATTCCTTGAAGAGAATGTGACTTGTGATAAGCATTTA